AGTATGCCATGATGGGGTTAATTCATATTCCTGGGCTACCATATGGTCTCAAAAGGCAACATAGACCCAGCAAACCAATCTGGCAAACTGAAATGGGCAAGCCCTATATTGACCCTGTTTCTTTCCAAGACACCCTAAAACCTGTACATTGGGGGTACTGTTTTACTCGGGCGACTTTGCTGAACACACATATTAGTGTTTCAAAACCATAAAACACATCACAGTGATGATATTGTCAGTGAAAGTGAAATTTTTGGCATTTTTCACACACAAACGGCACTTTCACTGACAATATCATGTCAGTGATAATTGCAAAATGCAATATGTCCAGTCTTTTGTAGTAGCCACTTAGTCACGAACACTGGCCAAGGTTAGCGTTTTTATTTGTTTTTTGCATTTTTTTAAACAAAAATTGCACTTTTACTGGTGATATCATCGTCATGATAAGTTTTACTGTTTTGAAAAACTCATATTTGTATTCAGCGAAGTCTCCCGAGTATAACAGTATCCTCCTAACAGTATGTAGTGGTTGTATAGTGTTTTTGAAAGTTACAAGGGGGACTGCTTTGGTCAGGCAGTCCACCTGGACCAGGATTGCCGGTCCAGGTGAGTACCGAGGTCATTTAAGCTGCGGACAAAAGTGCAAATATCTCTTTATGTGCAGCGTTTCAACAGAATCCTAGCATCATGACTATTTCTGAAGTGGTCATGTTGGTTAAAATAACCCTTTAAGTATACTTACATTCCATCTTATTAAGATTCCATGAGTTTGAATGAAACAGGTACATTTTTTAAATCTTTTGCGGGAATTCAGAATTAATTATAGTAGAAGACTGCATAAAGTGCCAAATCATCTGAAGCCTGTTGGAGATATTCGTTAATAGCATTGGTTCGTGCTATTAAATGCACTGTTGATAAAATGTTGCCTTTTTTCCCTGAAGATATAATCTTCATGCATTATGACCTTAATAAATTAAACTTCCATAGTTGTTTCTCTTAAGTGACCTATTTCACGAAAAGTCATTTTATGGACTTTAATACTACAAAGATTGTTGGCTTTGTTATTAACTTCTCCTTAAACATGTTTTATGATATTTCCACTGTGCTGGGATTTTCAGGAACGCCCGAGCCTTTTTTATCACTTTTATTATCTTTGGACACTGAAATGCCTGTACTTACACACTGCATTATCATTCCTGCAATTAAAGATTCAGGAAATCCCCCGAGAAATTGTTCATGGAAAATATGTACATTATAAAATTGCTGTATAATCACTTTTTAATTAGTTTGCAGTATTCTGTTAAGATACTTTGCCATACTTTAGAAAATTTGAATTAATTCCCTTAGAATGTATCTGTGCTCTTTTTACATGATCTTCGTCAGTTTACTGACCTAAATTTAAATTCCATAAGCCTCAAGGCTCAGTGGCATTTACCAACCATATATTTTTATAATAAATTGAATAAAAGCATTGAAAATCAGGACAAACTTTCCAGAATTAAGGTATGTTAATTACCAGTTAAAATCTGGAATTATTCTGTTGCTTAGCATTGCAAAAGAATAGAGTTTTCTAAAATCTAACTATAGCCTCGAGTTAATATTTTTTGATAAGCTTTTTAAATGATTTAAGATTAATAGATAAATGAATAAAACAATATTTTCAAAATATAAAAATAACACATATAATTATGAATCAAAAAAATAATAATTCATTTGAAAAGCTTATCCAAAAATCGGGGCTTACCTCTAGAAGCCAGTATGGCAGCCAAAAAGTATTCTTTCAGTGGTCATGTAGTTAATTTTTTATCTTGTTCCGTAATCTGGGTTGCAATGTTTGAGTGGTATGAATTTTTGTCTACATAAATGAAGGATTATTGCTCATTAAAGTAGATCTGCGTTTTAAAACTATGTCACTTTAAATTGACATGATATTGCTAATACTGTATATAGCTCAATCTATAGGTTGAAGGTTCCTGGTAATGTGACTCTCTCCACTATTTAACTCCAGAGTGCTTCCTAAACAGTGCAACATGACACTGTTCTGTGTATATATTTTATTACTCCTATTTGTTTTTCATATGTTTTTGTTTGTGGTTTGCCACAGAATTCTAGGAAGAGCTTTGGTGAGAAAAGGTTGAGGAGCACTGCTCCTCAGGGTCATGATTGTAAGGTTCCTTATCATCAACCAAGCCCCGGCTGGTTGTCACGCATCAGGAATTTGAAGAATATAGAATCAGTATTGCCTTTTTCATTATTATCTAAGTTTTAGATGTGCCCACCCCCATAATGTGTACAAAAGCTATTTAGCTTACCTTTTTTCTCTCTCTGCGCCAGTCTCCGCACCGTTGTCCTGATCTCACCCAATCCCATAGGAAAGCATTTGAAGGCTGGTGCGATGATTTCTAAGAGACCCTCAGATTGACATTGCTGAGTTTATCTCAGCTATTTGAACAAAAGCTCCTCAGTACTCGAGGAATTTAAACCCTGCAATGTAAACATTGCCATCCAGTAGAAAGACAATGTTTTGCATTGCTGGGTTAAAACGAGAGGGACATGTCACCCAGACCACTTAATTGAGATTAAGTGCCCTGGTTTCATATATTGTCCATTTAACACACATGATATGGACAAATTACAATCATGTGTTGATGGTAAGGACCTGTTGCTGAAGATTCTGTATTCATGTCTAAAACTATGCAATTATTTTCATGACATTTTCACAGTTTTGCCGACAGCCTACAAATAATATCCAATTTAGATTTTTAATGTGCTTTTCATTATTGAATGCATAAAAATGTTGCTTGGAAGACCATTCAGGTTTTCCTTCTGTGTTTTATGGGTGGGCGTTTAACCACAGGACCAAATTCGTACAGGACGTGGCCCAACTAATTATGACTCACATTGCTTTAAAAGCATTTGACACTCCACATGGCACAATATTATTATAAATAAATTACTTTGGCATTGTTTCGAATAAACACACATAAATAATAATAAAAAGTATACCTAACAAGAATGCAGTACAGTAGGACATCTGTTAAAGGACATCTGCACTCGCATGATTTGTTCTTGTTTCTCCACTGGAAACCTTTTTAAATAATTTGTACTAAGCTACCTAGAACAAATACAAAACTCTAAGGAAATACGTGCTCCCATGCTAAAAAGGATGCTAATTTTATAGCATTACCGGAGGCTTCGTATTTGCTTAAGTCTCTCTTTACTAGAACTCCACAGCAGCACAGAAAAACATCCAATCAGAAAAAAGTTAAGTACTATAAAACTCCCTTCCTCATACATCATTCCCGCAGTCAGTACAGGTCAGAGTACCACTGCCTCCTGCTTATAATTGGTGGCTTTGGGATTTGATTATGATTTATAGTTGTATATTTACTTCATTTTCGGATTACTGATTATTTTGTTCACTTTATGCTTCCCCTGCTTTCCTTTGGGGATATTAACTTATTTATGGTGGTAGCTTTATGAGGGGTCTTTGGGAGTTCTTTCGGTAGCGCTTACCCCTGGGATTTCTCCTCCCTCTCCCCGTCTACCTCACCATCTAGCTCTGTATTGCTTTCTATTTTATTATTTTTTCCTGCTTTCCCTACCTCGCGGGCTACGAGCGCATCACTCGGGGTTTCAGGAGGCTAGCCATTTGGCTGCCTCCTCTGACTCCCCGAGCTCCAGTGTGAGTTCCTTGATAGCTGGGGTACTTGCGGTCAGACGCGAGTACCCGGCAGCGGACCAGTCCTCACACGTGGCCTCCTCGCAGCTACATCACGCAAGCTGAAAAAATTAAAGAACAATTTGTGGAGAAAGGATACAACCCAATAAAGTTAACAACTTGTACAATTCCCTTTATATGTAATCACAGTGGAAACAACACAAAGATAAGAAGAATTATCCATAAACATTGGTCTATATTACAAGATGATCCTATTTTGAAACAAATTCTACCTTCAAAACCAATGATAGTATATAGAGGGTGTAGAAATTTAAAACAAATAGTAGTTTTTCCACTAAACACAAAGAACATTTTTTAAATAAAAATAAAGGTTTTTATGGGTGCGGTTCTTGCCTAGCCTGTAGGGAAACTAACCAAAAGAAAAGACACATCACCTCTTTTCAATACCAAAAGGATAAAACATTTATGATAAGAAATCAGTTAACGTGTTTTTCTAAAAATGTTATATACATTTTAAAATGCCCTTGTGACCTCATATATGTAGGAAGAACAATTAGAAATGTACACATAAGGATTGAAGAACATATTAGAAATATAAAAAAAGGACTGGATACACATAGTGTCTCCAATCATTTTAATTTGTATCATAATAAAGACCCAAAAAAGATGTCCTTTTGTGCAATAAAAGTAGTACATAGAGATTGGAGGGGGGGCGATTTTAATAAAAAAATTGGGGAAGAGGAGATGAAGTGTATCTATAATTTTAAAACATTAATCCCAAATGGACTCAACCAAGATTTTGAGTTATGCCACTTTTTATAAATTAATTGATAGTTTTAGGAAAGAATAAGGATAAAACTCTTTTTTAAAATATAACATTTTATAATTTTTTTTTTTTTTTTTAAGGAAACTAGAAAGATATCAAACTACTGTAGGTATTTCACCACCTGTATATGCACTTTGGTAATATTGGTATGGTCACTTTATGGAAAAACTCACTGTCGTTTTAAAATTCATTGTTCTTTTAAAATTCACTGTTTTTACAAAAAAGAGCATGGTCACTTTAAAAATTGAGAATCTGAATATATAGTTGTATTCAAGTTGGAATATGTCAAAGTAATTGGTATTTATTATGATTGTTTATTTTTAAGTCAAATTAACATGTCAAGGTGACAAATTGATGTTGATTAATACATTATGATCTAAATATGTCCTTATTTTTATATTTGGGACACATACTTGTACCCTATTGTGTGAACTGCAAATATCACGATGTGCACTACGATGTGGAGGGGGACTAGTGGGAGCTTTGGAACGCATGCATGCGTTCCATTGGAGTGTTTCGTCGCGAGAGCCGGAGATAGGAGAACGAGTGGAACGATGTGGAGGGGGACCAGTGGGAGCGTTGGAACGCATGCATGCGTTCCATTGGAGTGTTTCGTCGCGAGAGCCGGAGATAGGAGAACGAGTGGAACGATGTGGAGGGGGACCAGTGGGTATGTTGGAACGCATGCATGCGTTCCATTGGAGTGTTTCGGCGCGAGAGCCGGAGATAGGAGAACGAGTGGAACGCACTATGCGTTCCACTCGGAGAACAACCCCGGAAGTGATGTCAAAATACGGAAGTGACGTCACATAATGGCCGCTACCGGAAGCAGGAAATGAATATACACGAAGATATGGAACGCATAAGTCCGCAGGTACTGAGGACTTATATAAGGACATTATCTGGACAAGTACTGTTAGAAGCTGACTGAGGAAGCCATAATTGGCGAAACGCGTATTGGCTTATTTAGTACTTATATTTTATACTTCCATATTTTATTTATTTTATATATATATTTTTGTAATAAAGTAATTTTTTACTCCATCCTCTGGATCCTCTTCTACTTATTGGAGACCTCACCAGCTACAGAAGGGTTAGGATCACCCTATAATAGATCCAGAAGCCATCCATACCAGAGCCAGGTCCCTTGGCTCTGATTTTGTGAGTGTTTCCTTGCACTTATTGCACTTTAATATATATTGTAAACTGTCTACACTATTTTGTATATTTCTCTGTCTCTGCAGCAATATACTGGAGAAGAGGAAAGAACAAAAATTGCTCCATCCATTGTGTTTGTACTGTTACTGGTAGAGTTTGGAAAGTTGTCCCTTCCAAGCTCAATAAAGGGGATACCTTGGAATTGTCATCACTGGCATCCATATCCATTTGTGCAATGCCCTTCCTGTGGACTGATGAGGCGGTATAATACATAATAAATCTCTGTACATGACTAACTTGCAGGTACATAGTCATTCCGCTGTTTAAAGAACGAGTCACTCAGTGTCTCTAGATTTAAAGGGACATTTTTTATCACTGAACAACAACAGCTTAGACCCCCTGCAGCTGGAATACTACCTTTTGTCTTCTAGGCATTAAGGGACTGCCAGTACCTGTTAAGGTTTAATCACGCAGTATTACGCTGTTTAAAGTGTTGGTGTCTTGGGGTCTTGTGTCTCATGATGTCTTGAGGATTTACAGATATTTATGGGACTCTGCCGGAACACAGGGGTTCCTTACTACTAACTTAATACACCAACCGTGATTGGCCTGCTCTGTCTGTGCCCCTATGATTTGCCTGCTCTTTCTGTGCCCATTTGATTGGCCCGCTCTGGCTGTGCCATATTGATAGACCGATGTTAGGCTGTGACCGAACCTCCCTTTTGGTCGCAGGCCTGGGGGAATATTACTGAGGTATCTCAGTATCCACTATTGCCACAGAGACAGGTGGGTGTCCAGGTAGGCACTGCTACCATACTAACTGAAGTGGCACCGGTCTACGTACACCTAAATATGATTGGAGGGGTGATGGCCCTATACCTCGTGCATGAGGGACTAGACTTATGCAAAGATTCCCAGACGGGCAGCCACGGCTTGCACCAGCCTGGCGGTGGCACATCTCCAAGGAGAGTTTCACTCTGATGCATATATAGGGACCAGTGCTCGACGCAAACAGGGGTGCACGGTAATTCCTGCATTCTTTAGCCGCATATCTGGTATTAATTTTCATGTCTCCGAGGTGAGTATTTTCCTTTTCCGTACTTTACTCTAGCTTGTCGTCTTTGTTTTGTGTTTTTCCGACTTTTTCCTATTGCTCGGGTCGTCGGCTCTGACGCCCCGGGCTCTCGTGGATCGCGGAGAACGTCTCCAGCGTTTCCTCAGGCTACCGGCGACCTTCCTGGACCCCGCACTCTTACGCGGGATCCAGACGGTCGTTTTGTAGATTCCTTAATTTTTTCTAGCTATTGCAGTTTCTCGGCCTGTCCCCATTATTGGTACCTTGGACACGGCCCCGGACTGGATTGTTACGCCAAATTTTATCAGCAATATTTTTTCCCAGTTTGAGCACACCTCTCAGGTGTCTAATACAGAAAGGGACTTCAGAGTCAGAGGGGAATCCTGCTCAGGACCACAGCCGACTCGTCAAGTTTTTAAGGGCGAGCTCCCTGCCTACAATCAGTCTGTGACTGATATGGACTCTGGTTTGCTTGGTAAGAGGGTGCAGCCCCTTCATATCCTCAGCTTGAAACAAAGGCTAATTTTATGTGATTAGAGGGACCACCCTCTCATATACAGAACCTGACGCTGAATTTCCAGTAGAGGGCACGACCCTCCCCTAACCTCAGCTTGAGGCTAACACTGATGCAAATTGCAGGTTTGGAGTGTGATCCACTCTCATATACAGAGCCAGACCCTGACATAAATGCTGAGTTATTATTAGAGGGTACGGCCCTCTGACACGGTCAGACTGATACTGGCATAGATACTGTTTACATTATTTGAGAGTGCGGCTCTATCATACATGCAACCCGCTGCTGAGCTTCCCTCATGCGCACAGGCCAGGATCACCAATTATACTGGTTCCTCAGTTTACCACTGGCAAGACTCTTGGGGGTGAACCCATCGCTGGCCACTGTCCAACAGGGTGATTTATCCTAATGTCGACCTTGTTCATCTTACAAGCTTATGCCAGTACAGGACACCAGTGTCTTCATAGCGGGGCGTCCCGCCTACGGTCAACTCAATTCGGAGGTCTGTGCTACATGCCGTGGCCTACCGCTGATGCTACAGTGCTTGCTATAAGGACTATGACTACCTCATCAGAATAGCGAGGAGACGCCACTTAGTAACGACGGGGTAAGAGGAGTGAACCTCTCCATTAGACACCACGCCTGTGCTATTTTCCTTATAGATGTACTATTTGTTCGGACATGATATCACATGCTTAAACTAATTCTCCCTGCCAAATCCTCTGTGTTTGGTCTGCTGGACCCATGCCACCATATCCCCTCTCGGGAGATGATCAATGAGGTAGTATGATGGGAAACTCCCCACCTCTGTACACATTTCCCTGAGGCCTTATGGGACAGTGTATGGGCTGTTTGAACTGGCTATCTTGGATACAGTTCCTAGGATTGGCACACTTGGTTGAGGGCCCTATACCTTCATATTGGATCTACTCCCGGAGGTTGTTCTGCTGATGGATGAACCTCAGTTATTACAAGGGTGTAGTTTTGGTATAAGCTACGTCATATCAAACAAGCAATCGCACTTGGTTTAGGTTATTCAAACCATTATGGATGAACTGCTCAGACAGTTTGTTTCAACTGTCAAGGTGTCATGAGATTTGGAGGCCTCAATAGAGCAAACCTGCATGGCCTTACTCGCTAACAAGACAGGGGAAGTACCACAACCCGGTCTGCAGATATGCCGTACGCATGGGTCACATGGAAAGACCATATTCCCTGGTAGATTTTGGGTTCACTGGTCGTTAACAGTCTTGGGATAGGTGACAGGACTACCTCTACTCCTCCGAGAACATGTCTGGAGAACATGACTCGGATATGGAGGACCCTCCTTCTATACACTAATCCCCTCACGTGAACCGTCCTGGTTTTGATTTCACTAACCCACCAATTCTAGTACTGACAAGGAGGACTGCTTGAATTCGGTGGGGGAACCCTGTGTGTAGTCGACTCCTACACAGCCGTTACTAAGTCTGGTCGCAACCTACCGCTGGAGTACTGCTCAGGTTCTGTGTCGGTTTCGGATCCGACGGCCGATGTTCTCTACCTGGACAGTCCCTGCTTCAGCCAGTTGAAGCTAAGTTTCTCTCGAGTCAACGGTCATTAGCGATGGGACTTTACGTCTTATCTACGTATTAGAGATCGCTAGGAGCTCACGGTTCTCTAGGCAAGAGGGAAAGTACTCCCCATGGGATAACTAGACTTCGGTCCTCGAATTCTGTGCCTGGGTCCCTTTGCCTAAGGCCTACTTGTGGAGATAAGTTGCCCTGTCAGTCAGGGATACAGGGACCTAAAGGCCTCACTCTATGATACATTATATTGAAGGGACGTGCATACCATAAGTCCCTCCATGGACTTTTGACAGGACTGAACTGGAACGGAATTGTACGAGCAGTTATTCAGTTTATTCCACTCTCTCCCTAATCAGTCGACAGTCTTATGGACGGTAATCCTGATCCAGGCCCACTCACTGGAACCAATTCGGTTTTCTCCAGTCTGCCTACTCCTCGAACCACTTTGATTCCTTTGCGGTCCACCGCTTAACTACAACACATGACGACTGGACGAGGATACACTTGGAGGGGAATCGCGACCTCTATTTACGTTCCCCTCAATTTGGAATTTCTAGGCTTCACAATCTCCCGAATAGTCGATTAGGGTTTCGCTACACAAACTCAGTTCTGGGAACCCTGATGGACGTCCCTTGGGAGTACCTGGCCTACCACAGTCGCGGGTTCCGCAGTCCAACTGAGATTAGAGGAAATACTTAGTATACGACTAGTTTGGCCTGCAATCTGGCCAACATAATTGGTTCATTCTTGGATGAGACCACTCGCCTGGTAGGTCATGAGGGAGCATAAGACCCTATTTCATTCTGTTACGAAATTGGCTGTGGCATTATTTGAGGTTGACGGTTGACGACAAGGTCACACCACCTGGGGACCCAAGGGTCGAGACACGGTGACTGTTTCTTTCCCGCGGTTCCAAGTCCGTATATGATCTTCAGAAGATGCACCTACAGGGAATGTTTAATGTTTTCTGTGTATGGTGTTACAGCGACAGTTGGCACCTTCATAGATCCATCTGCTGTCATTTCTCACTATTGGAAGGTTCATTTGGGGTTGCTCTAGTCTTCTCCCGGAATCGGTACCAGCGACACAATCATCGTTGGATTTGTTGGTTGAGCGTTAAAACAGCAAATATGAAGCTCCTGTCATGTTATAAAATTGTAGATTATGCTAGCTTTAGTGTACCTATAATTTTATTAATGACAGGAGGCGAATATTTCCCTCCCATTCTTATCCCTCCCTTGTTTAAATGTTATGGTTTGGGTTCCTAAGGTAGGTATGCAACTCTGCTTGTTGTCTCTGCTACCTGTCACTTGTTCTTTTGTCCGTGTCTCCTAAGTAAGGGTTGGGATCTAAGC